CCTTTGGGGAAGTATGTGGGAGAATTCCTTGCATTTTTTTTTTTTTTTTTTTTTTTTTTTTTTGCCAAGCAAAAAATCTTTGTATTTTTCAGTACTTGAGCCTGACGATGTTCTAGGAAAAACAGTGATAATTCAAAGAAGGTGTCACATATACAACTAAAAAGTCCCCTCTGGTTTCAAATGAATTCAACAATATTCCTTGGCTAATTTCTCCTGTGTCAAATAAACCTTCTATATACAGGACCAGTTTTAACCCCTCCTCCCCTTCAAACACTAGATACGAGCATCCAGGAACATCCTACAATGCAAAGTGCCTTAAGAAAAAGGATCTGTAGTGCCAGTGATACAACTGATCTCAGGAAGCTGGGACACTATTAACACTGATGCGGGCCAGTCAGGCAATGGTGGTTTGTTTCTCCTCCGGTGTTTCCTCCAGCAACTGCATGATCAGTTCATGGAGGGGTTTGCAAATTTTTGGGTAGCCCCCGCCTGTGAGATGCAGGAAATCAAACATGGCAGGAGATGGCACCGTCCGAGTGCACGAAACCCCCATCTGTATCTAGGAGCTGCACGTTGGTGAGCTTCGGCAGAGAAGCCTTGAGAAGTTGGTTCACCTTGGCATTCTTTTGCCTCAAAGGGTTGGGCTTCTCTCCGCGAGGTAACAAACCCAATACAATGATTTTTGGCTTGCGGCTGTCTTGTGTTAATAAGCTGTACAATGGCCTCAATACCTCCTGCAACTTCCTCTGCTGTATTTTCATGGTTGTTTGTTCCTACCCAGACAACAATGACCTTAGGTTTAATGTTCTCCAGTTCTCCATTCTTTAGTCTCCATAAAACATGTCTTGTTGTATCTCCCCCAATTCCAAAATTAAGTGCATGAAGTGGGGAAAATAGTTCTCGCCATATCTCATACTGCTGCATTAACTGCACCATGGAGTCTCCCACAAATAGTACATCAGGCTCTTTGTCTTTACAATCCAAGACAAATCTGTTGTGCTGAGACATCCATCTGTCATCTCCTTGAACATCCTCTGCTGCATGTGGAATAGCTGCTGGGTTCGAATCTCCTTGGCTCATTCTACACTCAGGTAGCGGGTCTGTGCGGGCTCCAAGCGGCTGCGGAGTTGGCGGGTGGCGCGTTGGTCGCTCGCTCCCTCGCTCGCTCAATCCCGGCGGCCCCGGCGGCCCCGCTCTAGCGCTATGTATCCTGAATCTCACAATCTTTTTCTTTTTCTTGGTAATGAGGACCTCAGGGCCTTAAGCATGGTGGGCAAGCACTCTACCACTTTACTGCACTCCCAGCCCAGGTCTTCCCTTCTGTCTTCACCCCATCCCTTCCCAAACACTTATAGCCAGTCAACCCCCACCTGCCATATGCTTTTATAAATAATCCTTTTTTTTTTTTTTTTATTTTTTTTTTTTTTTTTTTTTATTTATTTGAGTGTGTGTGTGTGTGTGTGTGTGTGGGTGTGGCCAGCTCAGCCCACCAGGGGGCGGGGCTGGCTGGCATGTGGTGCTGGGGATTGAACCGTGGTCCCTGTGCTTTAGCTGAGCTTGTTCTAAGTAGGTGCTTTAGACCACTGAGCCATCTCACCAGCCCCTAAATACTCCTTTTCTACAGTTCATTGCTTTCCTGTCCCTGGAGCTGAGAACTTGCTATGTATTCTTCAAGGTTACCTTAGAGAACACCCCCATCCCCTTCCCTGAAAAATCCACTGTCCTCTGCTGTCCCTCCCTGGAACTCCTTTAGTGGCTCCCAGGACTTTCCGCGCTCTCCCACCCCCTTTTTTAGTGTGGACAAAACCTGGCAACGTGCCTTGGAAGAGGGCAGGTCCACTTCCTTTCCTTGCTGCCTCGTGCCTAGCACGTGTGGCATCTAGTGGCAGCAATGAAAGGAAGCGGATGAATACCTCTTTCTTTGGCATCTTGACTCCTCCTCCACAGCCTGTCGCCTGCCTGATAAGGGGCTAAAGGTCCAGAAGGAGCTTGGTGTACTCTGTGGAAAGTGCATTCCTGGAAACCAGCTCTCAGCCCAGCCCAGATCACCTCCCCTTTGCCTTTACAGTCTTCTCTCTTTGTACACAAACCCCAAGACTCAGGAAGTGGCTTTGGAGTCAGGACCCTAAGAACCTAAAGGCTGGGATTCAGGCTGGTCCTAGGGTAATCCTGTTCTCTCCACCTCCCCTGGGGATCACCAGTGACTGACAAGGAGGGGGCCAGCCCTCATCCAGCTTTGCCTTATGGGATGAGGAGGCTTTACAATGGGGACAGATGGAAGTCCAGGGCCCTGAGCCATCTGTACCTTAGTACCCTCCTTGTGTCCCACTATAACTGTCCAATCCACGGGTCTGCAGAGCACTGACTTGGTCAGTTCTCCTGGGGTAAGATAGAATAAAGATAGGTAGAAAGGAGACAAGGAAAATAATTTTTTTGGGGGGGAGACAGGATCTTGCTCTGTAATTCAGGCTGGCCTTGAACTCACTTTGTAGCAGCCCAGGCTGGCCTCAAACTCCTGCCTCACATCCCAGAGGGCCTGGATTACAGGCATGTGCTAAGGCAGGATTGCCTTGAGTTGGAGGCCAGCCTGGACTACACAGACAGACCCTGACTCAAAACACAAAATCAGGGGTCTTGTGGGTTAGCTCAGTTGTTTAAGGCACCTGAATTGAGGTGCAGGGGACCAAAGTTCAATTCCCAATTCTACATCAGCACTCTACCTGCCCTTAAGGCAGCCTGAGCCAGCCCCCACCCCCCAAAAAAATCCCCCAAGCCATCCTGGCAATGTAACATACAAGGTCACCCAAGTTTTCCCTGGAGGAGTTTCTTAGATTTTTGTTTATCCTTCTTTTCTTTTTTTTTTTTTGGGGGGGGGTGGTACAGGGGATTAAACTCGAGATCTTGTACTTCCCAGGCAAGTGCTTATCCGGCTGAGCTACCTTCCTGGCCATCCTTTTCTTCTAGGCTCATCACACCCCAAATCACTGATAATAATTTGGCTTAATTGATAAGGGGCATAAAACCTGATCTTAAAGGTTAAGAGAGTTTAAAAGTTTTAGGCAAAACATCTTAGGTCACCCATCTTAAAATATACATGATTGGGCTCCTGCCTTTTTTTCCATAAACCAAAATGAAACTTGGTATACATTCACAAATTCCATAGGTTTCCAGCCTCTTTAAAAAAAAGGTGGGGGGGCCGGGGAGATGGCTCAGTGGAATAAGCACTTCCTGGCAAGTGCAAGGGACTGAGTTCAATCCCCGGTTCTGCCAAAAAAGAAGAAGAAGAAAAAAAAAATCTCAGCTTTTGCAAATACCCAGGGCCAATCAGATAGCTCAGTGGGGTTAGATCCCTGGCATGTCACGCTGGGCCCAACCTGACCCAGGGCGAGTTCAGACAGTAGTGGGGCTGGGCATGGTGGCGCACTCTATAATCCCAGCACTTGGGAGGCTGAAGTGGGAGGTTCACTATGAGTCTGATCTGTGTAGTGAGACTCTGTAGACCCTGTACTAAATACATTTTTTTTGGCAGAACTGGGGATTGAACTCAGGCCCTTGTGCTTGCCAGGGAATCGCTTATTCCACTGAGCCATCTCCCTGGCTCTGCACTAAATACATTTAAAAAAAAAAAGAAAATACTCAATATTCCCTTGTGAGTGTATTTTTCTTAAAGACAAATCTTTTTTTTAAATTAAGGTTTTAAAAAAAATTTTATTTATTTAATTAATTAATTTATTTTGTGTGTGTGTGTGGCCAGCTCAGCCCACCAGGGGGCGGGACTGGCTGGCATGTGGTGCTGGGGGATTGAACCGGGGTCCCTGTGCTTTGCTAAGCTTGTTCTAAGTAGGTGCTTTAGACCACTGAGCCATCTCCCCAGCCCCAAGACAAATCTTTTTTATGCCTCGACAACATACACTGAAAATTATTTCTCTACTACCGAGTCAGCGAATTTATTGAGGGCAGGGTCTCTTGAGATTTTATTTTATTTTTTTGCAGAACCGGGGATTGAACTCTGGCCCTTGCGTTTTCCAGGCAAGTGCTTGTTCTATTGAGCTATCTCCCCGGCCTCCCTTGAGATTTTAAACCTCATCTTTTTTGGGGGGGAACCAGGGATTGACCTCAGGCCCTTGCGCTTGCCAGGGAAGCGCTTATTCCACTGGGCCATCTCCCCGGCCCCTAAACCTCATCTTTTGGGGTCCTCTCTGGACCTCGTCCACGACTCTCCCTCACACAGAGACCCACCTCTGGTGTCAAGAACGCCGGTGCCCTGCCTAGACTAGCGGGAGATAGCACAGGCCCGGACCTCTCCCGCAGTGTTTATCCTGGTCCCGCCGACTGCAGGCGGGACTCCCGGGCGCGCGCGGCTTTCCACAGACTCCCACATGGGCGCGGGTCTGGCCCGGGCGTGGGGCCCGGGAGCGCGGGGAAGCAGCCCGCAGCTCACCGCGTCTCTCGCGCGGCTCTGCCGTCCGGGCGCTCAGACCTCGGCGCTGGGCCGCCGCCTCCGTCTCCGTCTGCACCTCGGCGCACAGCGCGCCCGGCTGTCCCCGCGTCGTCCCGGCGGGGTGGGCGCCGCCTTCCCGTGGGGCCACGTGGCCGGCAGGCCGGGC